CCCCGTGTGGCAACCGTTCCCCCACGCACTTTGTATTGTCAGCGGGAACAATGCACTCGAGCAGGAAAACCTTTGCGTCGGTGAAATCTCTGTCTTACGTTGTCGTCCCCGTCCCCTCATTTTGGGTTCCGTTCTGAACTAAAAAATGAGGGATGAGTGTGAAACGAGAAATCCGCCATAGGAGCCAGTCAATGATGACGTTCTGATTAGTACAACCTCCAGTGAATTACTATTTACTCTCCGATAAACGCCCGCCCACCCGGGTGGCCTGTCTTGTTTATTCCCGAACATACATTCGTATTATACAAGCATTGTTGCGCCCGTGCATTAGGTCAACAACTTTTGCATTGATCCGTGTCTCAAGTGAAACGGAACGGTAAAGGTGAAGGTAAATGAATCGGGTCAACATGCCGACACTTCATCTTAATCACTGGGGTGGGAATGGGGGGCCGGAGGGGGGCTCATTAGTCAAGCTTGACGAGTCTACACGAGGGAGGGGTCAGAGGTACGGCGCTCTCGGCGAGAGATGATTGAGGACATTCATCCGTTGATCAGCCTCAGGCGAAAGGGTGAGATTGTCCTTCATAAAGGTTGAATTGGTTGGTTCCCGAGGAGAAGTAGGGGCCGGGTGGGTTGCTCGTCCCGACTGTCGTCGAAAGGTACAGATGTTTAGAGCAGATTGCGAGCTGCTGATGTGACCACGCCTTGACGTGCCGTTTTGAGGAACCATCAGTGTCAGCATTCCCCCCCACCCCCCCAACACATTTCAGCCCCGGCAGGGGGCCGGCCACCTGACTTCGCCCATATCGACCCAGGACAGTAACTGATAAATTGCCGACTTGATCAGCAGAGACTCTTGAGCATGACTAAATGTTGGAAGAGTTACCCAAGCGGAAACTGCCACCGCTGATGTGTCGGTGAGCGATCCAATTGCAGGATGGCGTGTCACTTTCATTTGATTGTTTAGATTGAGCAGCACTGTGGACTCGCGCTTAAGGTAGCAAAAATTCCGGGAATTTTTTTCAAGTTGGAAAAAAAAAACACCTCATAGAGAACATCAACATAGTTGGGGACAATATAATTTGGCATAATAATGACTCAAGCAAAGTATTTTCCGTGGTACCTTGACTTGCGAGTGCCCACATTTGCAGAGTTGTGGGGGGGACAGGATACTATGATGAACTCGCGTAGGTGCCTCTTTATGATAAAACAAAGTGTTTATATTTACAGTTTGCTTCATTTAAAATAGGAGGTCCTCGACTGTTTGAAGGAGATGAACGGCATGTTGTCTTGTCCAGGGAAGCCAAGACAACAGGTATTATAAAAAATGATGATGAGATTTATTCGAGAAGGAAAAAAAAAAATTGTGGAGAGACGCCGTTCACAGATCTGTCAAGGGGGGCCCCCCCCCCACCGCCCCCCGCGTCTTGCGCTGTCGTTTTATCTTATTTTCTTCTATTTGGGAGGGGCAAAGGTCAGCACAATCAGCATTTTGAACAGCTACACAGAATGCAGTCGAGTTGCATGAGCAGGCACCTTTGCTTATCTGCAAAATAACTTCTCATCAGTACAAACAGTTACTTCCATTTAGCGCTGTTATATGTCCAATTCCCATTACAACGGCGTGTTGTCAAACTAGTTTGCACAGTGCGTAGCATGACGTTGTCACGCGGCGCCAGAAGGCGCAGTCAATTACAGCCACGCTGACTGTTTTCATCGGTTTTAAATTCAGCCTACAAGTGTAACATTTATTTACTGTAATTATGACAATATACGACTGCGTTAGCGTCGGTTAGTGCTTGACTGCATCCATGTTTCGCCCTGCATATAAATTCTAGTTACGTCGCCGCTGTAAGAATGAGACGATGTCTTCAACGGGAACTCTTGTATTTTTATTCTCGTGCTGTAAAACTGAAAAATCTCTTTTCATGTTCATCTGTGAAAGATGCCTCCCAGTATTTATTATTCTGGCTGTTTTTTGGGTGTGTGTTTTTAATTTATTCTTTTTTTTGGGCTGCAAGTCGGAAAAAACTCCCTTCATTTAGGAGCGAATGAAGTGGAAAAGTGTCAATGAGCCAATGCGACCTTTTTTTCTCCCCGCAGAATCCAATGATACTGTCATCGCTTATTAATGCTCCTAAATTGAAATCTGTACGCTTCCTGAAACTCAAAACAAGAGATGATTACTGCGGCGCTGTTAAGATGGAGTCCAATATCTCTCTCTCGGTGAATTGAAGCAGGACTTCACTTGGTATTACTCACATTTGGCCCAATCAGTGTTTTCCGAATCGATGCGAATGAACAGCACTTGTACTTGTCTGCGCCACCCGCCCATCCATTGATTTTTCTTTCGCACTTGTCCTCGTTAGAGTCTCTGACTTTGGGTGAGAATCGAGGGCCACCCTGGACTGGTTGCCCGCCAATCTCAAAGCACATGTCGAAAACAAGCATTCACGATGACATTCGGACTTGTCCTCCATTTCAGATAAGGAGCCCGTCGTCTGTCCCCACTGCTCCTCCCAGTTCATCAACGAGTCTGTGCTGGAAATCCACCAGCAGCGCTGCACCGGCTCTGAAGAGGAAAGGAACACCGGACGTGGGCGAGGACAAGGCCGGGGGCGCTCCACTGGACAGGTGAGCGTTACAAATCATGCCCCCCCGCTCTGGAATACAAATTTTAAGCATCATTGCAACAGCTGTACAAGTGCAACATTATCTGTGGCACGAGTGTAAAAAGAAGTTAACTGCGCTATAAAGAAACCTTTTGCTGCTATGCTCCACAGAAAGTTGAAAGAAAGTTGAGCAAGTTGTTCGGTTTAGTTCAGGTGTCACACTTCAAATTCGGAACTGACCGTATTTTCACGACCTTACGGCGCACCTTATTTAAAGTCGCAGTGTCAGTTTCCGGTGCCGTATTGGACACAGGCATGATAAAACGTATGTTTACCTTTAAAAAAAAAAACAAAAAAACTGTAGCACTCATGCGCGCTAGCATACGTTTTTAAAAAGTCAGCGGGAGCAAAACTGAGTTTGGCTTTCCTTTTTTGAAGTATTTAACTCATCCAGAAATCCCTCAAAGTCGTCCTCTTCTGTATCCGAAATGAACAGCCGGCCGGGCGAGCTCTCAATCAAACACGCCAGGTTCCCCTCGTGTCATTGTCACAGTCGGTCTCGTTGCCGTGCGGCTCCTCAGAAAGCTCGAACAACCGCGCAAGCGAATACGTTACCCCAAGCATCCACAATCCGTTCACAAATTGCAGCGTTACTTGCCCGGCGCTGCCTCCCAGTCTTCGTCAAGCTGTGTTTGGCATCGCTCCCACGCCGCTTCCAACTTGACTTGGACCGCGGCTAGAAACTTTTCTCTCGGTTTAAAAATCACCGCAGGTGGTCGTTCCCGTCCATGACATGCATGACTTTGCCTCGACCTAAAAGTCGGAACCATTCCTCCCCCCCAGATTGAGTGCGACCTATGCGGCCACCGCTGCATGACACAGGAGGGCCTGGACCTCCACCGGCTGTCGCACACCGGCCAGACGCCGCTCAAGTGCCCAGTGCGGCCTTGCCGCCGCCGTTTCATCTCCAACAAGGCCTTGGAGGAGCACGTGCTGGCCCACTGCCAGGGCAAAATGAGCAAGCCCAAGGGCCGAGTCCGCTTCGAGTGTGAGATCTGCTTCAAGGGCTTCGCCTACAACTCCACCTTCCAGGTTCACATGAGAACTCACACCAACGAAAGGCCCTTTGAGGTAAGAAAATCATGAAAAATCCTCTTTGCGTAGCAGCCCAGTTTTTCGTGACCTACATCGCCAATTGAAATCTAGCATTCACGGTCACACGCTGCTCCCCGCTGCGGCCATCTCGCCACTTCTGGACGGCAGCCATTTGCACCGTGTGCGCGCGTCTCCTGCGGGTGTTTCCTCCTTTGCTGTACTTGTGATTAATGTCTGGGTTGAATTGGAGGCTGACAGTTCCCCTTTCTGCCTGTTACTAATCTTGGAATCCCCCCCTGCCCATTTCCACTGACGGCCCACCATCTTTGCCATGCCGGTGACATCAACCCAACCCCGGGTGCCGCTCTGGCAATTTATTTCATGTTGGCAGCCATGCAGCATCTCTCTTCCGAAATAGGAGTGGCAGAATATTGATGGGGTTAGCCCCCAACCCGGTTTCTTGACATTCTCTTCACAAGTGTTGCATTTTCCTCTGCCGCCGTCCTCCGCCAGTGCACCACTTGCGGCAAATGCTTCCGCCAGCTGCCCCACCTGCAGGACCACGAGCGCATCCACAGCGGCGTGCGGCCCTTCTGCTGCTGGATCTGCGGCAAGAGCTTCAGCGTGGCGGCCCGCCTCACCGAGCACGCCCGCACCCACAGCGGCGAGAAGCCCTACCCCTGCCCCAACTGCCCGGCCGCCTTCCGCTCGCGCTCCAACCTGGACAAGCACATCCGGCAGCACGGCGACCAGGCCGCCCAGGCCGCCGAGGAGGTGGCCAGCGCCAACGAGGCGGCGCAGGTCCAGAAGGTGCTGGAGGGCGCCAAAGTGCTGTCCTCGCTGGCCGCCACCTCCGACGCCACCCAGGTGGAGGTGGAGGACGACTGCGGCGGCATGCAGACCATCTACGTGCTGCAGGCGGGCGAGGGCGGCGGCGAGGCGGTCATGATCCCCGCCGAGGAGCTGAGCGGCATGGACGGAACGTCGCAGGTGGTCATCCTGCCCTCGTCCATGCTGGGAGCGCAGGGCATCACCATCCCCACCATCACCATGGACGGCAGCGAGATCACCATGATGGACGGCTCGCAGTCCCCGCAGCACTCCATCGAGTTCATTGTGGAGGAGACCATATGAGCACGAAGCGCTACTCAGGTTCACGGCGGGTGAAATTTCACTGTTACTTTTTTTTTTTCTCCTTTCCTGCTCACAAATACATTCCTCAGAAAAAAAAAAGATATTCAACTTGGGGTGGGGAATTCTGAATCAATCTAAAATGCTTTCTAATGGATGTTATTGATTTGACCTTCACTAAACATTTGATGACGCGGCCAACTGTTCAATGTTTCAGTGCCTTTTGCACAACTTGGTGCTTTCTAACAATGAGCTGAATGGCAAAATTCACAGCAGGAGTGAAACAGCCAATTCATTTCTTGGTCCATTGACAGTCCTCGTCGTCATGCTCTTCGCATTTTTACCTGAGACCAAAAACGGCGGCGAACAGTTGATGAACAAAGCGGGATTTTCTCAGAGGGCAGCGGCCACCGAGTTCAGAGTTTGCGTCATCAGCACGTTACGACGCAGATTCCGACGGAGTGGAAAAGTCACAGGCGGGCATCGAAATGGACTTTTGTCATTCTTCAACAACCTCTTGTGAATTTTGCTGTGCGACAACTCGTGAAACAATGACCAACTCGCCGTGAGCATTCACAAGTTCATGAAGGTCAAATGGAGGGCATTTTTAAGGTCGTAATGCATTTTAGAATCATCCCTAAAATTTACTATTTGGGTGTAGTTTCTGATCACTTTTTTTAAAGACGGATACTTTTGCAGCTTTACTCACCATTCCTTCAGATACATTTTATCCTTTAAAGATCCTTTCAGTGTCCACCATCAATTTTTTTCCCAAATGTGATAGTTTCCCAAAACAGGTATAGAATGATTTAGCATTATTTTAAAATATTCAGCCGAAATTAAGGCAGGGGCGGCGGGGTTAAACCTTGATTTAGTCTATAACGCAGAATGTGGACTTGTCATGACTATTATCCAACAGTCACTTTTCGTTTCAGTCGCGAGGCACCCTTGAAGAAAAAGGTCAAATTTATGCTGTGCGTGCTTTCAATGCAAAATGTTGGTGCACAAATAGAAAAGTAAAAGCGAAACTGGCGATCCAAACTGAACATGAAGGACTGCATTAGAGTGATTTGGGGGCAAAAAAGAGTTTTTAATGGGATGTGGAATTTTTAAAATTTTTATTTTATTTTTCTTGTGTTTCCATTTTGAGCTCATATTAACGGGCTGAGGACAATTAAAAGTATACATCCCCTGGCAGTTGCATTCGATACTCATTCATCACGGCCAAAATGACTTCAAAATGAGGGGGATGGGTGGGGGCTTTGGCACACAATTTCCCTCGGCTAGCTTAAGGGGTAACTGGAATGACTTTGTACAGACTTTGTACATCCATTTTCCAATCCGCTTTTATCCTGACAAGGGTCGCGGGGCATGCTGGAGCCTATCCAAGCTGTCTACGGGCAGTAGTCGGGGGACACCCTGAACCGGTTGCCAGCCAATTGCAGAGCACACATAGACGAACAACCATTCGGGCTCACAGCCACCCGTAGGGGCAATTTTAGAGTGCTCCATTAACCTGACATGCATGTTCTTGGAATGTGTGAGGAAACTGGAGTACCCGGAGAAAACCCACACAGGCACGGGGAGAACATGCAAACTCCACACAGGAAGGCCGGAGCCGGGATCGAACCCACGGCCTCTGCACTGTGAGGTCAACGCGGTAACCACTGGTGCACCGAAAATTGAGTGTGTGAAATGATAATCAAACAGAAGAGGCGAAATCACTTTTCAGCCGCCGCCCAGAAATGACGTCGCAACAGCAGTCGCGGGTTCCCAGCTCATACAGCAGCCCATTGAACTGTTGACAGCCGACAGGCTGTCGAAAGCGATGGATCCTGTGGACTCCATCGCTGAGATGGAGGAAAAAACAAAACAAAACACAGCAGCCATCTGAGGAATCACAGCCAAGAGGAAAAATGCTCCACATCAGCTTCTCCATGTGAAAGAGAGCAGCTCGCACAGCTCGGTAAGTACATGAAAATGATATTCATGATCTGGCTTTTAAGTTGCTTGTGGACTTGTCATGAAATATAATGTGAACAGAAACATTTTGGATATCTTGGGTTCAGGTCTCCATTAAGCCACCAAATGTTTCTCAATGCTTCCAAAAAAAAAAAAAAAAAAAGCCAGACAAGCTAATAACAGAAAAAACAAAATACTATACCTGGGTAGGTTTAGAATTTTTGACTGCTAGGTGAGGTGTTCAGACACACTGTCCAAGCCCTTTAAAAATGCCCCCCCAAACCCCACCACAGTCTCCTTGTGTCCCCCTTTGTATATTCTCTTGATGTCATGCGCACTAAAAATACCCAAAGTGACCCTCGTGAGGGAACGCGTGATGTTCAGCTCTCTCAGCAGTAAACAAGCTGACATCACAATGTCCCTTGCAGGTGAAGGACGTCACGCAAGCGCCATTTTGTCCAGGTTGGACCGCTTTGGAGATGATGGAGATGCTGGACAACAGCAAGCCAGCGAGTCAACATCAGGAATATTTCGCGACGTGACGTTCAGGACAAAAGAATACGTGATCATGTGGAGCAACTTCATTTCTTGGCAAGTGAGAGGAGAGAATTGCGCGGGAGGTTCTGCACAACCTACGTCACAAACCGGAACGATGTTCTGTGCATGTGCGGAAATTTCAAGTCGGGATTTAAAACAACAACAATGTGGCGCATATGCTTTCATGAAACGCCACTTTGTTCGAGGAACCGCAATTTTGTCATTGAGGTTAAGTTTTGGGACAAAAAAATCAAACCTAACAAAACAAAATGTTGACAACGTAAACCCTTTGCAAGAGTACAAGAAATGTCCCAAAAGTAAAATCAGTAAAAAAAAATTTCAAAAAAAGTAAACCTTTATGCGCATAATATAAAAAATACATTTGCTAAAGTAAAAACAATTTCTCAAAAAGTTAAAACCAATTGACAAAAATTACAAACTTTTTCTCCCCAAAAGTAAAAAGTAATTGACTGAGCAAGTTTTCAAAAATGAAACAATTTAGAGAAAAAAAAAATATGTTCCCACTTTCAAACCACATCTTTAAAAACTAAAAAAGAAAGAAAGATAAATTTAAAGTAGACAAATTTTGGATAATAGTAAAAATTAATTCAAACCATAATCCAAAACGTAAAAAGACATTAAAATATTTTGCTACTTGGACAAGATTGTTTTCACAAAAAGTAATTTTCTTTTTTGCTTTTGTTGTTGTTACAAAGCCATTTTATTTGTTTCTGGAATTCATGTGAATTACATTTTCGATGAAAGTCAGTGCTTCAAAATTTACTCCCCGAATTGCCTAGTTATATTTACCCCCCCCCCCCGCCCACCAACCCCTGAAAAAAGTGAACCTCATACGCAATTAGCAACATGTCTTTTATTTGATTTTCTTTTTGAATTTCTTGGAAGGCCTTGGCACCACTTGTGCGCAATTTCAAAGTCATCCAGCTGCTGTTTGATGTTCTCCAATGCCCCGCGGCTTTTTTTTTTTTCTGCCCTCCAGCAGGAAGGCAGCCTCTTGACGACAACCGTTTCTCCTTCGAGAACAAGAAATACAAAAAAAATACCCTAAAATCCCAATCTTAAATCCTGGCGACGATTGCAGTTCAATTGTCACCCCCAAAAAGTCTTCCTTGAATAAATTCTGTGTTCTTGTCCCAAATGCATGTAGATCAATGGCCCGAGTTTGAAATCCATTCATGTCTGCGGTTCTCCTGGAGGGGGCCGGTGGGAAGGTAGCACGGCTTCAGCGCTTATTGGAAGACCGCCGCTACCATCCCCCCACTCCGCAGCTGCTCCTGAAGGAGCCGCTTATGATTAGCCGCGCCATTATCGCGCCTCTGTAAAACGTGCAATGGATTGAACAATGTAAACAACGCAAGCCGGCACCGGGGAGACAAAAATACCATAAATCATCTTCCTGTGGATGTAGCGCGGGCTCTCACGTGCTCCGCCCGAACAATATATCCCGCTGAGAACAAATGAGACGGCTTTTTGTGAGCAAAAGCCCCCTTTATTAACTTTTCTTCCGGTTTTCGGATCTATCGATTAGTATTCATATTCAAATATCGGATTTCAGGATGTGTCATTGACATTTATTCCAATACTTTGTGTCTAAATGAGCACAGGCGAGGTTGGACAAGGATGCCATTCACACTGACATGCATCATGTCGGCCATGCGCATCGTTTACTTCCTGACAACCGAATGGCCATATTTGGGCTCCTTAAGTATCAGTTGCCAGTATTGGCGGCGTTCACGAGTACACGATCCATTGAATTAAGGCTGGCGTCAGTTCTTGCCCATCCCAACCGATTCAATAGCAAATTTTAATCAGAGATGGCGTCATGTCTTCCTCACCGTGTTTTTGAGGCTGATTTTAAAAATGTCTTCACTGTTTTTTCTTGGCTCTCAGATTTTTGACCATGTGTTATTTATCCCAACAACATTTCAGAAAACAAAATCCACCTGTTGCTGAACCTAACCCTTAATTTTTAAATATCACTTGATATTTCAATATTAATCTTGAAAATAAAATGAGGGCAGATTCAAAATCAAGGCCAGAAAACCATCAAGAAATGTTTGTTTGCATCTCTAATTAAAAGAAAAGAAGCAGGAAGTCAGCCATTTTGTTTCGAAGTAGCCATTTTCGGGTCATTTTCCAGGGGAGTTTTGCAATTCAGCCCCTGAAGCGAATTGTACTGAGCAATGTACAATTTGGTAGACATGTCTATCAGGAGTAGACCCACAAAAAAAGTCAAGAAGCCAGGCCAGAAAAGACAATCTATGCCTATTTTTTGTTCTTTTTTTTTTTTTTTGTCTTTATAGCTGTTCACTTTATTCTTCACATTCAGGGCAACACGAAGCCGCTGCCTCCTAATTTCTCCCCAGTCGTCACGGTAACAAAAGCTTCCCTGCACAAGAAGGGAGCAGAGTGAGAAGTTTTTGCATGAGACAGGACTAGCCCTCTTTAACACCTTCATGTCACCATTTGCCATTTTGAGAAAATGACAAATTCGGCAGATAGTCACTCGGGGCACAGCATAAGATCGAAGGACGGCCATTATTTGAGGCAACGGCGGGCCGCGACATCAAATCGTCATAAAGCAGAGCTACAGTGTGACGTTTGAATGCAATTCCTCCGCCCGTCTTCTTCCGTCTCGACTGTATTAACATATTGTAGTTATTAACGGCGGGCGGGGCCGTCGGCGTAATCTGGCACATGAATCACTCCCGGCGCTTTGTGGTCACATTATTCTAATTTATGGCTCCCTGCGCTTGCAGCTCGGTCTACTCTCCACCTTTTCTCGTTCGGCTGCTCTTGCTCACCATTTTCCAAGCATCCTTTGCGCCTTCTCTCTGCTGAGGCGGCGCTATTGTACCCGCTCTGACTTTGACAAAGTGGGACCTGCGCGCATACCCTCTGCTCTGTATATGTGTGTGTGTGTCCTGCTTGTTGCTCCTTGTTCTTGTAGTTGGTAACGCCAAGGGGCTGGTAACTTTGTTGTGCACATTTGGGTGCCAATCAATACAAGTAACGCAGTGGTTGTCAAACTGTAGTCCGCGAGCTGGAGCTTGTGTGTGCCTGCAAAATTTGTACTTGTGGTCCAATTCAAGAAACGTCGTAAACCAATGGCGATCTGAATGCAAACAGTGCCAGAGCTGTCCTCCAGGACCCCCCCCCCAAAAAAAAAAAAAAAACTGCCAGTGATTGGGCCAGCTCTGATATAATTGATATATATCATTCTAATACATTTGAATGAACCTTCCAACAAAAGGTGGATTAATAAATGTGCAGTCTCACTTTTTTTTTTTTATTTTAACAACAGGAGTTTTTTTTGGGGGTGCACATTTATATCGCTTTGTTTTTTTCAATTTGCAATGCTGTGGGATGGTTAGTGTGTGTGTGTGTGTGTGTGTGTGTGTGTGTGTGTGTGTGTGTGTGTGTGTGTGTGTGTGTGTGTGCGCATTACCGAAAACTGAAATTCAATTAAACCTATAGGATTAAAAAAAAAAAAACCTTTCTTGTGATTGCTGAACACTTAGGCCTGCTACGTTACTGTATAATTAATGTTTGCAATTATGGTGCCACTTGGAGAATTTTGTTTCAGTGCTACTCTGCATAGAACGTTTGAGGACCGTCGCTTTATTTAACGTGCGCGTGAGAGTGAGTGAATGCGCTTGTCGCCTTGTTGTTG